TATATATATATATATATATATATATATATATATGTCTCTGGCAGTTTGAGACAAATTTATCTCCGGCAACCCCAAAACTATGTCGTTTTGTTTATTTATTTTCTTATATTAATTGATTTACCTTTGAATGGTTATGATTCTATTTTTTTTCTCTTCCTTTATCACCATTGATCCATCCTTGTACGGTTATGATTTAGTAGCCGGAGATAACATTTTATATATATATATATATATATATAACAAAATGATTTGTAATGTGACTGCATATAAGCATTAGTGCAGTTACCTAAAAACTACGCCGTTTTTTGTGGGATAAAGGAAGTTTGCGTTCAAAATTAATTGTAGAAAATGAAAATATTATATTTATTTTCACATTTGTATGGTTATGATTACAAATATTTATGCTTTATATTTATTTCCACCTTTGTATGGTTATTATTATCCGTATTTAATGCTTTCACATTTTATATGAGTGCACCAATCCTTAGGTGCAGTCACTTTACATCCATTAAACCCTATATATATATATATATATATATATATATATATATATATATATATATATATACAAAATGATTTGTAATGTGACTGCATATAGGTATTTTATATTAGGTTCATATTTTATTGTATTTACTCTTATTTATAATATAGATTTTTTTATTTCCTCCCCCCACTGAAAAAATTCTAGATTCACCACTAACCACTGTAGGTCCAAGCAGTAGCGGGCCCTGAAAATTTTATTTATGTGTGCATATTTAGTCCGAATATTTAGTGGAGGAGATTTGGAGGCAGTGCTTCCGGAAAAAAATTTAAACAAAATTTTAAATGTATTAAAAAAAAGAATATAAAAAAAAATTATATCTCTTATATTACTTGAACCAAATTTTTTGTCCTGGTAAGAAAAAGACAAGATTAATTCATTGAATAATGTGTCATCTCACTTTCTTTAATATTATATAACTTGACAAAAAATTTCATTTCATATAATATGAGGGATGTAATCCTCAAACAACAAAAGAAAAGAAAACTTGAACTTAACATAAAATAGTAATCATCTTAATGATATAAAACCACTAAAACATAACATAAGCAGTAAATAAGATGTGTTTCTTTCTTAATATCTGTGCTTTTTTTCTGGTAATACAGCCACTAAAATTGCTCTTTGAGTGACACTCATAAATAATTAAAAAATATATCTCTTCTTTACTAAAAAAAAAATGTATGACCAAATTTATGTGTGCACTTGCACACATAAAAAACTAAATAGGTCCGCCACTAGGTCCAAGTGATATAATTTGAAACCATATCGAATTAAGTGATACCATATGGATTAGAAATTGATATAAACAGTGTTTGACAAAATCGATTTATTTTTTTCCCGAGAATGAACCGATTCAATTTATGTGCTGAGGAACAGAAAAAAAATAAAAAATTTCTATTTTTTTGTTCTCGGACAGAAAATGAGAAATATTTATCTCTCTCAATCACTCTCCACCGTAGACTACTATCATCACTACCACCACCACCACCCCAACATGACTACCGTCACCATTGTCGCATTCGTCGTCATACCACCATCGTCGTCATCACCATCATCACCACGATGCCATCGTTACCATCACTACCACCATACAACTGTCACCACCGCCATTATCGCCACCACCATCACCAGCCACCACTATTATCACCATGCCACGACCACCGCCACCATTGTCGTCACCATTATCGCCATTATCACCGTCGCCGCCGTCACCGCCACCATCATCACCACACCACCACCACTGTCATCGCCACCACACCATATGAAAAGAAAAGTGATGATTCCAGTTCTTTTATGTTTAATAAGAATAATTTTTATTCTATTATTTGTTGTGTTATAAAATAAAATTATCATTCTTGGAATAAAAATAGAACATGCTATTAAATAAATTTTTTTTCCTCAGAAACTGTTACAAGACACATAAAAAAAAATTATTTCTTTTCAAAAACAGTGCTAGGAAATAGAATAATTATTATGCACACAGTAATTATAATGATTTAAGTGATATATTTAAAATCACATGAGATCAAGTTATGTGACAAAAAAATTAATTTATTGCTTTTTTAATAAAAAATTACGAATAAGTAGTCGTTTTGAAATTAATTACGAAAATATAGCAGTGAAACACGGTGACCAGTTGGAGAGAGACACGCCCAATCTGGGCGTGACCGAGGAGAGAGACACGCCTCATCTGGGCGTGTTTCACCAGGTGCTGCCACGTGTCACAAAAGTCAACAATTTGACCGTAAAACTTTGGAAGTCCATAACTTTTGACTCGGGTATCCGAATTAGGTAATTTTTTTTTGATTCCACATAACTTTTCGAGATCTACGTAATGACACCTCATTTGGCATATTTTGTCTCTCGCAAAAAAAATTGAATTTACAATAATAATAATACCATAAGAACGTTTAAACTCAAATTAATAAGCAGAAAACCACTGTTATGATTAGAAACATTCATAATAAATATCTTTATGATTATGGTAAGTTATGATAAGGTTAATTATGTATGTTATTGAGATATATATTAAAAGTTTGAATGAAGAATTTTATGAAATTTATAATTTTATTCGGTCAACATCTGTCGGTGACAGAATATCGAATAATTTATATTAAAAAGTCAAGTGAGTGCTTTTCGTTTTATTTTGATTTTTAAGTTTTTGTTCATGATTATAAAAATGTTAGATTATTTTTAGTAATAATTATAAGGTAACAAAGTCATGTCATTTTTAATAATTATGGTATCATTCTTGTAAATTCAATTTTTTTTTGTGAGAGACAAAATATGCCAAATGAGGTGTCATTACGTAGATTTCGAAAAATTATGTGGAATAAAAAAAATTACCTAATTCGGATACCCGAGTCAAAAGTTATGGACTTCTAAAGTTTTACGATAAAATTATTGACTTTTGTGACACGTGGCAGCACTTGGTGAAACACGCCCAGATGAGACGTGTCTCTCTCATCGGTCACGCCCAGATGAGGCGTGTCTCTCTCCAACTTAGTCACGCCTCATGTGGGCGTGACTCACGCTTAGGTCACGCCCCACATGGGCGTGTTTCTCTTTATTGGAACACGCTCCATGTGGACGTGTTTGACTGCTATATTTTCGGAATTAATTTCAAAACGACTATATTTTTGTAATTTTTTATTAAAAAAGAAATAAATTAATTTTTTTCCCCTAAACCCACAAATACTCAAAAGCCAAGTTGTTCTTAAAAAAATAATAATTTACCCTTGATATTAATCACAGGTGTTATGATTTTTTATTATCTCAATACACATAGAATGACTACTTATACAGGGAAAATGAGGTGAAAGAGCATGACTATGGGACTTAACAACGCTATATTCACAATGGATCAAGTTTAACTCTTTATTCTTTTATACAAGACTTAGAAACCATAATTACAAAAGTGCTTGTAAATTTTATTTTATTTTAAATTTCTATTAACAAATCAAAACAAAATAAAAGTATAATCATCCAAGCAAAATTATTTACCCGATTAATTATATAAGGGATGCACAAGTAGATTTTAATTCTTTTTTGTTTCGTCAAATATGACAAAATCATATTTCGTCAATTATTTACCCGATTTATGGTAAACTTTTTTTGAATTAAAGCAAGACCCATTTAAGCCTATAAGCTTGTTGGGATCTCATCTACACATATGATTAATAAGTATTTCATGCCTTTGGACCACTAATCACGGTAAATAACTATTTGTAATCCCCTTTACTCAGATGTGCACTCTTAGAAGATGAAATCAATGATTCTTTGGTTTGGTTATTTGAGGATTAACTTCGAGCATGCGAAACATTTTATTGTCATAATTACTAACCACATATCATTAATCTAATGTACTTTATGGCAATATTTTACATACTATTTCAAATATGATTGTTTATTAATAACTGCATTCTTAATTATTTCAAAATATAAGACATGGCAATTAGAATTGGAGTCTCGAAAGTTTTCCCAAAGCATAAATATTAATTTTATTTGTGACAAATCATTAAAGAATTTATGGAAAAGTTGTCCCATGTGTACTATGAGCATGCCTCAATATTTAAGAGACATTTCAATCATAACGCAAGTGTAGCTCCAAGAGAAATAAAGAATTCGAAAGCAAATGACCACGTTAGCAACGTTTTAAATTCTTTTAAAATTCTTGTTCCTTAATATTTTGACGTACAGGTATAAAAAAATAAAATACTAATATACATTTTAGGAAAAATATTTATTCTTTAAATTAAAAAAATCTCCGACTTTTTTCTAGTATAATTTTTATCGTGTAATTATTTTTCTCACCATAAAATACGTTAATTTTGACTAAACTACTATAATTTTATATGCTTTAAAATGATAAACACTAATTTCATACATTTTAAATTTAAAGAGACAACCTTGTAATTTACTTTGAAAAGAGTATTAATTTACAAAAGACTTACCTTAATTATTTTATGAGAAAAATGTTTGTCTTTTTAAATGACACAATTTAAATTCTTTCACTCTTACAAAGAGGTGAGATCCACACCTTTATATTTTTTTATCCACTCTCTTCTTCTTTATCTATATCTTTTTCTTACTTAAAATGATACACACTTAGTTCTTATTTTATTTATCTAAAACGGCATGGGTTTCAGAATCCAATATCCATAATTTTACATGTGAACGCCAGCAACCCCAAAAAAAATATGATATTAATGTGGCAAGGCAAAACAGGGTTGCACACTTGGTAAACTATGCCGAAAACGGAAAATGTTAAACTTTACCGGAAAGATACACGCTTCTGTGATGTGTAAAGCAAGCTCTAGATTATACCGAATGCAACGTGGAATTTCGTCTATCCCTCCCTGATACACAAAAAACCCTACATTTGCATTTAATTACGAATTTACCCTATATATCATCGTCAACGTTTCATTTTGCACTCGAAATTCCTTGGTCCATTCTCTGTACGTTATACCTGAAGCCCAAGCAAACGTTGATAAAATCATCGACGCACCATTTCACCGTGTTCGGCGAAGCACCGAAACAATAAAGTTAATATCCTAATATTTATAAAATAATTAAAAAAAACTTTAATATTTTTTCTGTGGGTTTTTTTTTTTCACCCTCAATCTTCTCCGTTGTGTTTGTTACTTCCATTCCATGGCTAAACCGAAAGCTCCAAGGCGAACCCTAGAGTCATACACAGTCAAACACATAAACAAAACCATTAGAGGTAAAAACTTCTTTTCCCGGGAAAAATTTATTGGAATTTTCCCGGGAAAAAAATTGATTGATTTTCTTTTTGTGCTTCATCTGCTTGTTTTCCTAATATTCGTTGTTGTTCTACTGTTGTGTCATAGCGGGCGATTGCGTGCTCATGCGACCCTCTGATCCGGGGAAACCGTCGTATGTGGCTAGGATCGAGCGGATCGAAGCTGACTCCCGAGGCGGCAACGTGAAGGTTAACGTCCGTTGGTACTACCGGCCGGAGGAGTCAATCGGAGGCCGCCGCCAGTTCCACGGCTCTAAGGAGGTTTTCCTCTCCGATCACTTCGATCTTCAGGGCGCCGACACCATCGAAGGCAAGTGTACGGTCCATAGTTTCAAGAGCTACACCAAGCTCGATGCAGTTGGGAATGACGATTTCTTCTGTCGCTTCGAGTACAATTCCTCCACCGGCGCCTTCAATCCTGATAGAGTTGCTGTGTGAGTTGAACCGTTCTCGAATTTTATACCGAGATATCTTTCTATCACACTCTCTGCTATGCTAAATTCGTAATATCTAGTTTTTATTCTCTTTCTCTTTCTGTCTGTGTGTGTATTGGAATGGAATTTCGCTCTTTACCTTATTCAGCAGCTAACGACGAGCAATTGATATGGACTGTGTTTTGCTTAATGACCACTTTGGATTTCTGTTGCTTAAATTGGTCAGGTCTCACTGATTATTCTACGACTCTTATTATGCTTGTTTATATCATCAGCCATGGGTTTATTTTACTTTTTAAAGAAACTGCTCAATTTTTGTCATTAAAATTTTTGTTTGCTTATTCAGTTGGAGGATGGAAAGTAACAGGTTTTTTTTTGTTAGAATCGAGAAGCTGTGGGATCTTATCAGAATTCTGGCTCATGTGATGTTCGTCGTTTGAAATTTTCATTGCAGGTATTGTAAATGCGAGATGCCCTACAACCCTGATGACTTAATGGTCCAGTGTGACGGCGAAGACTGCAAGGATTGGTAAGTTCAATATATACACGGTGATATTATCTCTAATTTATTTGTCTTCTGCTCTATTGTTTTGTTTTGTGTTCCATTATCTGTTTGATTTTCTGGACTCTAGTATGTCCAGTTCTGTAGATATTTTGCATCATCCTGATGTATTTCATTTTAAATTTCAGATTTTTGTTCATGTTTTACACTCTTCTTCTTCTGGTTTCATGTGAAGAAAACAAGTATTTTAATTTAGCATTAACCGTACAGGAATCATTTTTCCTTGTGTAAGACTCTCCAGTTAACTTTAGACTACTCTTTCCATTGATCTTTTGTTACTTGGTGTTGCTTAATGAATGCTACAATTCTTAATATCAGCTAGTATGTTTGACTATTTTATGTATTAGTGATTTGTTCTTCTGGTTTATTTCATTCTTACATATTCTGCTTCTGTCTAGGCAGTTGTTATTTAACTTATGCTTTCAGTAAAGCCCCCACTTTCAATATTCTGCCAATACAGTACTCGTTTGTACATATACTTTTATTCATGTATGGGTGATGCTTTTAAATGTTGTGTAACTCGTGTCTGAATGGATAATGGACATCTGGAATGTAACTCGAGAGAATTTCGTTTCTTTTGATTATGTCTCCTTGTTATTGTTCATGAAAGTATAAGTAAGCTCCATATGGAACCTAAAGAAAGCAATACTTTTAGGCGGTCATGTTATTCAGCTTTATAGGAATCACAGCATGCATAAAGGCAGTAATTGGAGCCTTAACGTTGGTGCTACTACTGTGCCTATCCACGCACTAATGAAGTCAAATCCATGAATTTATGAAGCTAAATCTGCAGATTGGAAAATTTATTTCTAAATTATCAAATATAACATGTAAAATTGATGTAATTAGTATATTAAAATGAAATCTAACAGCTAAATCTGCATTTGAATTCTTTTTTAGTATTTCATTGAGTAAATGTTATTAATTTGGTAAGACATGTGTTCTCCCCTGATCAGGTGTCTCTTTTATTTCTTATTTTTTTTCCTTATTATGACTATCTACTATATCGAACTATCAAAATTACTTTGTTTCAGAATTTCATATCTTTTTTAACAAAATTCATAAAAAAAAAAAATTATGCATTTGGATTCATTATTGTACTTTAGTGCTTTCACACTTTTGCTTTTATGCTTGCAATTGTTCTTGAATATGTGTGCCCAATTCATGGCTTAACTCTTAAGGTTCCATAAATAATTGTCCAAGTGAATTTTTGGAATATGCTTAAACAGAAATATAAGGATAATGAAGATCTGAAATGTGGGATGAGAGGATTCAGAGGATTAATTTCCTTTTAGGAATAGTTTAATGCTCTTGGGATGTAGTCCCTCTTTCTTATTCTGAGAAGGGAATCCTCTGTGTAATTATTCCAGTGGCAACTCCAATAGTAGCACAGACACAGACTAATTGATAAATAGCCTTAGATTGTATGGAGTGATGAACTTGACTTACATGGCTATCCCAAACTATTAAAATCTTGATCAATTATTTAGTTCATGAAGCGACTGAATTAAAACCTTGAAACTTAGTCTTGAAAAAAGAGAACATCATTTTTATTATCAATGATTTCTGTATTGTTATCATTGTTGTCAATCATCTTGGGAGGATAGTTGTTCTTGCTCTTAAACTAATTGAAGGCCTGCATTGTGATTGTTGAGTATTTTACTCTCTTTTTTTATGGGAGACATCATCAATTTGTAAGGTTTATTAGAGAGCCAATTTTAAGAATGGCCTCTGAAGAAATATCTTGAGGCTTTGAGTTTGATTGCTAAATCATGACAAATAAGTGTTTTCAGCACCTTTTTCCAGAGTATATGTATGTTATAAAATAGCTTGTTTTGCAACATAGGCCATTATAATGTGGATATCAGGCTTTGAGTGAATGAGGTCTTCGGCATAATATTTTTGATTCAGGTTTCATCCTACTTGTATAGACATGACTGTGGAGGAAGCCAAAAGACTTGACCAGTTCTTTTGTGAAAGTTGTTCTCAAAAGAAGTTGCAAAATTCCCATTCTGCTTCGAGACTCTCAGATACAAAGGTATTTCTAATTACTGTTGTTTGATAGTCTTGAGTTTGTGTTCAGCACTTAATACCATTTGAATGGACTTGCCTAGGCCTTGGAGATAGTTGATATCTTCATCTATTGTGTATTGGTTTGTTAATTCCTATTCCATTGTCATATGATTATATCTTCAGTATTCTTTATTTCTGTTCAGATGCATTATCAGTTGGTTCGTTTTTATACCTGTTGAAAGTTACTTCTTCAGTTCGAGAATCTATGTCCGTATGACATGATAGGGTGCACATCTATATTTCAACAGTTTGCAAATATGAATAGTCAATTTGAATAAAATTTTCGTTGTGATGAATAAAAAAGCCTGATTGTGACGAACATGCATGATGGAGACTGGAATACATTTTCAGAATCTCATCTTTTCATACCCCTTTTTTGATTAACTTATGTTTGTTCCAGGTTAATGCAAATTTTAGGACAAAAGAATGATATCGTTTTTAATTCCTATGCTGCTCATTAAATAATGTGACACTTCATTTTGAATGGGCTGGCATTTTATTCGGGCTACATATTTATGGAAACCTGCCTTGATATTATATATAAGAATTATCAGTTTTGACCGCCTGAAAAATATAGATGTATCTGAATTCTTCTCCTTAGCCATGGAAAAACACCATCCGATATGGTTAAAGTGTTTTTGATCATTTTAAGGGTCTACATCACTACATGAGAGATTGCAGTTTTCACGTAAATTTTGTGCTGACAAAAGGAAGAATTGATATATTTAACATTTATGTTTTGCCTGGTATTGCAGGTTGATACTAAACGCCGTCGAAGGCAATAGTGTGATAGTATATAAGGCATAAAGTGAGGTAGATCTATAATGGAGGGATTGGAGACCTTGATTTTCTAATGCTGGGTATGGGCCAAACAAACACTGAGACAATGTCATCTATGGTAAAACTGTAGTCTTTCTACCCTCATGGAAAGTGACTAGTTTTGAAATGTTTGTGATGCCTATTTGGTTGGAGGATTCATCCTGTTTCCTGGTCTGTAATTATGTAATGTAGATTCCGTATCTCTTCTCTTCCGGTCCTTGTTCTTACTCGGACTTTTGTAAAGTTTCTTGACTTATTTATGAACAATAGAGACTTTATTCTTTCTCTGTACGGATAAAGATAGGCATGGATCTAGACTTTCTATTCCCTGGCATTGACGCAAAAGAGGATACTAAATACGCAAAAAGAAATTAGTATCCTCTTTAGCTCCAAATACGCAAAAGTCAGATACAGATACCTAACTCTTTCACTCCCGATAATACGTTTGGTGGACGATTTCAAACAAAACACAATCAACGTGTTTCACCTTGTACACTTTCTTTCCTTCCCTGCAGGCGAAGAATGAAAAATTTAAGGATACAAAGGACATGGTAGCAAAATTGATTTTGTAAAAAGAGGGGAAATGAAAAAGCTAAAGAAGAAGGTAAGCAAAGAAAACAAAAGTATTCTCTCAAGCTCTCAACTGTATCCTTAAACTTCTACTACTGTATATTCTTGTCTTGATTTGTTCATGCTCTCTTCCTTCCATTCAATTACTATGCCAGAAATATCAGCTGAAGCCTGAAGCCAAAGTATTTTCTCCAATCATGGTTCCAAGTAATACTTATTACTGGAAAGCGATGGCCCTGCAACATAAATTGAATGAATGGGATACCTTAAATTAATGCCTATAATTTTTTTTTTTTACCAAAATAAAAATTAATACCTTAAATTGAATGAGATGAACCTGCAGATTGTTTACGCATGTATTCCCAGGCCGCGTTAAATCGCTGTAATCAAAGATATTTCAGCAAACTAGCATTTGCAGTAAATTGGTGTCCATGACCCTTTTAAGTCTAAAGATGTATCAACTATAACATGCCGACTATAGTAATTCAAAGTATAAATAATAAGAGTTCAATAAAGTCAACTCAATGCACTTGGGAATTGGGATTAAAGGTAGATTATGCTTAAACCAGAAGAAAGAAAGTTTTCCATCCTGATTACATGTCTTCAACACAGGTCCTCGAGCCAGCAGAGAGAAACTCTGATACTACCCTATGTAACACGAGATTTATGTCTGCTGCTACTTCGATGAAGATGAAAAAGGGATAAAACTCCAGTTTGGGACCGAGTATACAACCCCTGCACATAGAAGCCAGTAAATAAACTAATAAAGAAATATAATGGGAATGAACCTGATAATTGGGATATAAATGTGCAGATATATAACAGCAGAAATGTGCTTCCCCACAAAAATATGAGATGTGCTGTATGATCATCGTCCATAGAGGTAACTTCATTGTCAAATGCTGATTTGCTGATTATCCTTCCATTGCCGAAATTGAACACCTGGTACATAATATAATTTCCAAGAAAAATGTGTCATCATGTACTTGCAGGTGTACCAGCAAATGAATTAGTTCTCAAATTATCTCCCAAGCAATGAACTGAGCCTGAATTTTTTTTAAAAAGGGAGCAAAATTACAAACATATTTTCCTTTAAAGTTATAATTATTTTTATGACTAAAAAAAAAAGACAATGCTCATAATTAAAGATTTTTCTAAATTTTGAAGAGGATCATTAATTATATAATTAAAAAATCAAAAATAATGTTCAAACCTAAAGGCTTTTACAAATTTAAGGAGACAATTGTCCTCCTAACCCCTCCCTCACTCTTAACACTGTCCAAATGAGAGAGATAGGTGACTAGGTGAGGCCTTAAGAAAGCATGTTTTCAATGTATATAGACCAACCAAAGAGCCAAAACATTAACAAATAACTGTTATCTGCACTCTAAGAACAAATTGCCACCATATTTTGTCAAGAATGACATTTCAGGTCTTCCTGATTAAGAATAGAAATGACCAGCATTAACACATTCCAATTTTTAAAAAAAAAAATCAACAAAGAAACTGTTCCTTTTTTCCTTAAAAGAACATTCAAAATCATAACACATTTACATTGACTTCTATTTTTGCATTACCAACTGAAAGGAAGTTGTTACTTTTTTTTTTTTTAAGTAGATAAAGGAAATTGTTAATTATTTACCTGCACCAAACATAGAAAAAAAATATATATCAATATCTACCTACATAAGGATAACAAATAAAAAAACATATTGATATCTTTGGAAGAATAAATAAAAATTAAGGAAGAATATTTATGTTTCCGGTGAGATGGATAAGGAAATATTCTTGATCTCACATGTCCATCTTTCATTGTTTTAATACATAGCAAAGTTTAGGTGATTTTTGTGTTTGGCAAAAGATTAAGGTATCTTTATATTTCTCTATCTAAAAAAAGCTTATGAGATTCTTCGTAAAAAGTAATCTAAATATCTATATAATTAAGAAACTGAATTTTTTGGGTTAAGAAATTTATTTTTTAAACAAAATGAGACGGGAGGACGCTGTTACAAAATACATAGCGCTGATATATAAAAAAAATTACATCTATGAAAATGTCAGTAAACGTTATATATTTATGTTGTTAGACTACATTAAAATATTATAATGTTAGCATTGTTCAATTAAAAACATGAGAATTTTTTCATATTAAGTTATGGCAAACAATATTATAGTTTTGCAAAAACCTTTTAAATGACTAATTTAATTGAGATTAATATCTCATTAAGCATATATTTGCATATGTTTTCAGGTGCGAATGACATATTCTAAATTTAATATTCGTTAAAATTGATATTCGTCATGATCTCCTCCTCTGCCAACGGTGCTGGCAAACCTTTTAATCGTCAAATCTATATTAAGTATCTTTTACTTATTATTCATATATTTCTATGAATTATATTGTTATTTTTGTATTATCCCTTGCTTCGCATGAGGAATAACTTTAGTTACTAATTTACTATAGCTAAAATAGTTAGTACTTAGTAAAATTAGTAAGACTGAATCACACAGCAAAGTTAGTTAGGTTCAAATTTGTTATGATTCATTGTTGGCGAATTATCTATAAATACTTAGTATTAAGAAGATAAAAAGTTAGTTATTATAAAAGCAAGGTATAATGATGACAGAGATTTTAAATATATATTTTCCAAAAAAAATAAGAGATTTTAAATATGAGAAAAATGTTTATCCTTTTAAATGATACAACTTATATCTTTTCACTCTCACAAAGAGGTGGGACCCACACCTTTAATTTTTTTGTCAACTCTCTCTCCTCCTTTATCTATCTCTTTCTCTCTCTTAAAATAACACAACTTTACATCCTTTAAAATAACACACATTTTTCTCTTTAAATATAGGGAAAAGTGTTTGTCCTTTTAAATGATACAACTTATATCCTTTCACTCTAACAAAGAAATGAGACCCATACCTTTATATTTTTTTGTCAACTCTCTCTCCACTTTTATCTATCTCTTTCTCTCACTTAAAATGACACAACTTTACATCCTTTAGAATGATACACACTTTTTCCTTAAATATATTACCAAATATGTAAAGTTTTAGGCTCTCAAAGGGGCCGATTCAAGCCCAGTGAATTGGCCCTATGTTCAAGTCTAATTAGAGAAATTACTAAGTATGATTTCAAAAAATAAAATAAAAATTCTTAAGTACTTGTTTGAATTCTTTTTTTTTATAAGCATAAATTTGATTAAACAGATTTTTATAAAAGCTCTTATAATAAAAGATCTTTTTTTATAATGAAAAAAAAAAGTGAAAAGCCAAAAGCTTATAGGAGGATTTTTTTTTAAGTTGTATCAGTTTTATTTAAAATATGCGTTTTTTTTAATGAACAGCTTTTAAGTTGAAAATTTTATATAATTATCAAATAACTTATAATTTTATTTTTAAAACTCTTATTTTTAGCTTTAACTTAAAAGTAGTTTTTAACTTTAAAAAGAGAATATAGAAACGGGCTTTAAATGAACACACTTGATTTAAATGTAAAAGAACACAGCAACAATTTTAAAAACATTTAAGTTCAATTGTAGAAGAAATTTTAAGGTACTATAAGATTAATATTATCAACGATTGATATTTAATTTAAAATTTATTAAATAATGTTCTAGATTTTTTTTTTGGTAAAATAATATTCTAGATTTAATCTACTATTATACATGATTATGCAATTTAATTATGTAATTTTTTATTTGATTGAATTTAACCATCTGAAGGTATAAAAGAATTTCTTCAACAATAGAGTAATCCAGCTTCCACAAGTTGTGTTGATCCAGGCTGGCCCGATAAAGAATGGCTGCTTAACTTTAACTCATAAACGCTGCAACCAAAACGGGGAAGAAAAGAAGAAGAAGAAGGAACAAAGAAAAGGACATATTAACTACAAATTTCAATGGTGTATATGTAGCCTGGTGAGATCTGTAATTAAACTAAAAATAACAAAATAAAAGCGAACTGTCATCTTTAAATGTATTTTCTTTGACTATGATAAAAACACATATGGTAAAGCTCTTTAAATGATACAAATAACATATGATTTGATATAATATTAAAAAAAATGTACAAGTAATTAGGGGTGAAACTGTGTCGGGCCGGCCTACAGGGGCTTACGGCTCGGCCTACGTTAGGCCAGACCTGACTTAGTATATTTCGTAAAATAGGCCAAATTTGGGCCTTGATAAAGTTTGTTTAATAAAAAGGCCGTAGACCCACTTTCACAAGGCCTGACCTATAAGCCTACAGGCCGCCCTATATTGTACTAGTTATTTTAAATAAAATAGAATAGAATAAATATGCCCTGAAGAAAGAACAAAATATATAAATTTAATCAATTGCAATTATTTATAACTTAATTATATTCGATTATGTTTTAATAGAATCTGACTTTATTTCTTACATAAGAGGAACCAACATCTCAGCGTGTTAGATTGTGTATATGAATATATTAAAAGGTTTTTGGGAGATGATATACTCACTATAAGTATCATGGTGTGTTTGTTGGATTCATATAGTTATTTCAATTTACGTAGTATGGATTTGCTTGTTGGATCTGATGAAATATATGTTATTTAGTTTGAACATTTTGCTTTTGAAAGCGACTTAAATGCAGATTGTATGAGTTTTGTTGTGATTCATGATTCTGTTTGGACGTTGAAATTATGATTTTTGGTTTAGCAACAGAATTTGAGTATTTTGTAAAGTTGATTTTTAGTTCTGCTTGGAAGTTAAAAATTAACAGGCTAACGGGCTAGACTGAGCCATTTATTTTTTTATAAATGGGTCAAACTAAGCTTACAATTAGACTTGTACTAAGCTTGGACTAGGCCAAATTATATTTTTTTTGCATAGGCTTGGGCTTTTTGAGACAAAGTTTGGTTCAGCCCAGCCCACTTTCACCCCTACAAGTAAATGCATCAAAATTTACTCGAATTTAATTTATCTAACAGTTTCTGCCATCTTTAATTCTTTCATCGAATAATTAAAAAAGATAGAAACAATCAGCTAAGATCAACAAGACAACAAGGCAAATATGTCAGTAGTGGTGGATCAATAATTTAAGAGAAAAAGATGTGTCATTTTTTTTATAGAAATATTCCAATCGGTTCATTGTTTCGCAACTAATCCGATTCGGGGCGGGTCCAGAATTAAGGCTTTAAATCCCTCCCAAAGATCGTACTGAAGAGATTCGAACACATACTCTCACCCCACCTGCTTAGCTCCCATGCGCCAACTGAGCTACCACCATTTGGTAAGAAATGACACACCTTCTGTCCTTTTATTCTTATAAAGAGGTTGGATTCACGTCTTTAAAACTTTTTTCATCTATTCTCTCTTATAATCTATTTCTTTCTTTCACTTAAAATAATTCAATTTTATATCTTTAAAATGATATACATTTTCCCCGTAATTTAATATCTAGACTTCCTTGCAAGAACGAATATTAGTTGAGGTAACCTATCGTAGTCCTTTATTTTCCCCTTATTTGTTATATCTCTATGATTACATATTACGTCGGCAACTCAAACTCTTCCTTTTTTCCCCTATTTTCTGCATTTAGTAAAAGCAAACCTTACACGAGCTCATAGTATCTTGAACAAAATTAGTTTCTTTCTTATGTCGTATCAGAGTTGTTCTTTTCTATTAATAATTTTTTGATTTTCATATAATATTTTTTTGTTTTTTTAATAAATATAGGGCCTTATATAAAATATATCTATAGCATGAAATACTTATCTCTTATTGCATAAGAAAATCAAAACCCTTAATTAAATATATACTTTTTGTTTTTTTGATAAAAAAGAAAAAAGAAAATGAGATTGTCTTATCTTAAAGCTTATGATATGCCCCACGTCTTTCACCACTTGCGCTAATTCTTATGAGAAATGTTTAATTTATTTTATATATACGCATAAGTGTAAGCTTTATTTTGAGTACAAAGGAGATGAAACTCCAAAATGATTAATGTCAATTATGAATACAATGAATGAAACTCTTCTGAACCGAAAGCAAGCATGACAATGAAGCGGATAAATAAAAACCACGTCCTCCCACTCTCACGAGTATGGTGCATGTTCTCGTTCCATTCAAAACCAGCAGAACTCTAGAATCTCGTGGATGAACTGCCACGTGTCACGTGTGTTCTGCACCGACCTTGCAAATTATATCCTATCGAGGGAGGCCGACATCTTCAGCCCCTGCAGTACACCTCCCCACGTTATCATCCACGTGTCCATTCTCTCATTGGTCGGATCCCATATCGATCTTTACAGCGTCTCTCTCTCTCTCTCATCTTTTGCACACTTATCCTTTTGTTTGTTTTCCATCCTCGCACGTTCAAACGCGCTCTCTACTCAACACAGTCTCTGCCTCCACTTTTATTTGTTAAACAAAAATATATTGAATAAAACTCGATTATATTCGTACTTATTTCTAATAAATTCAAAATGATATTATTTTAAAATTTAAAATTTAAAAAATTATAATAATAAAATTAATATAATTTTAAAATAAATTAAATTAAAATTATAAAAAATATTTTTTAACTTCAAATAATATTATTTTGAACTCACTAGAAATAATTTTATTTTCAGAAAAAATATTAAATCTTTAAATAAAATATAAATAAATAAAAAATTATAATGATTTTTAAAAAATAATAAAATAAAAACTTATTTCGTATTAAAGTTTTTGGATGAGAGCGAAGCTAAATCATAAAAAAGCGAGTGCACTTGCAGGCATGTGGATGAGAGGGTGACTAAGTTCATTCCGTCATTAACTTACTTAATCGACGCGTCAGTTACGTGGCTTTTTAATTACTTCTTGGCGAGATACGCGCTTCATGTAAAGTATATAAATACTCTCTCCCTCTATTACACTCCATGCTCATTCATCTTCGTGTATTCTCTCGAAACGACATTTTGCAGTAACAGCTACCTACTTATATATATTCAAAGAGTTCTACTGTTCCCACTTTCTTGATTTGAGTTTGTTTATCAGTAACTGATCATGGCAGAGGAGAATCAGAACAAGTATTATGAGACCTCTGAGACCAGTGAGGTCGAGGCCAAGGACCGTGGTCTATTCGATTTTCTTGGTAAGAAAAAGGAAGAACAAAAGCCTCAGGAGGAGGAGGTGATCGTCACCGAGTTTGAGAAGGTTTCGGTTTCTGAGGAACCCGAGATCAAGTTCGACGAGAAGAAGAAAGAGGAGAAAGAAGAGGAAGGAGAGAAAAAACACAACATCTTGGAGAAGCTTCACCGATCTAACAGCAGCTCAAGCTCTGTAAGTTTTTTTATTTTAATTTTCTTTTGTCTGTTCATGTGAAAAAAAGAAGGGTTTTATCTGTTGTAAAATATATCATATTAAATGTTTATGATGATTGTGTTTGCAGTCGAGCGATGAGGAAGGAGAAGACGGAGAGAAGAAGAAGAAGAAAAAGAAGGAGAAGAAAGGTCTTAAGGAGAAGATAGAGGGTGATCACAAGCACGAGGACACGACTGTTCCAGTTGAAAAGGTTGAGGTTGATTATGAGGTTGATGTAGCAGAAACTGAGGAAAAGAAGGGTTTCCTCGACAAGATTAAGGAGAAGCTACCTGGTCACAAGAAGACAGAGGAGGTTACTCTTACTACTCCTACTCCTCCTCCTCCTGCATCATCATATGAGTATGGTGAGAATACTCATGAAGGAGAGGCTAAGGAGAAGAAAGGTATTTTAGAGAAGATTAAAGAGAAGCTTCCTGGGTATCACCACAAGACAGAGGAAGAGAAACAAAAGGAGAGTGCCACTCATTGATTGAGTGACACTTTGGATCGACAAGGCTATATATGTTGTCAATTGAATATGATCATTATGTGCTTTATTTTATTTACTTTCATTACTGCCTTGTGGGGGTTTTATCTGTATTTCTTGATTTATACTTTGTGTGTTTCTTTTGAATATGTTAAAAAAGTTTGTCTAGGTTTCCTTTTTATTTTTTAAAAAGAAAATGATGTATTGAAAGAAAATGGAAGGAAGAATGTATTTTGTTTGTGTTTTGGGATTTTCTTTTTAAACAATTATCGTGTTTATGTTTTCTATGCGCTCAAATGAAGCAGAAATAAATATTCAACCATTCCTATAGCTATACTTTTTTGGTGTGTAGTTAGAACTCAACCGTGGGGCAACTCATTGTGTTTATGGTAAATTGAACTTGAAAATATTTAATTTGAATTAATATCATTTTATTTAACAAAGTTTATATTTGAAATTCATAAAAAAAATAAAATGATTCTGAATTAAAATTTTCTGGTTGAAAGTTATCAAAAATAAAAATAAGCTTTTATTCTTGAATTCAACAAGCATAAATGATAAATATAAATTTTAAAAATATATCTTATCAACTTTTATTACATTTTAAAACTATTTCTTATTTAACTACCAAAAAAAATAAATTTATTTTACATTTTCAAACATACTGACTTGAGAATCCAAAAAGGCAAAAGAGAAATTTCAAAACCGATGCTTGAAAATAAATAAATCCCGTTACGAATGCCTTTCCAGCAACGTCGAAGGCTTTATCTTCTCTAGCTGTGAACCTCTCAGTGCCCGGTTTCCTCGGGCAATATTAATACATTACTATATACCCCACTTCAAAGTTCAAAGCCCTTACAAGTGATGAATGCTGACCAGTTTTTGTTGACCGGCAGGGTACAGTACTCTCTGGTAATTGATTGTCAATTCCTATTTTAGGAATTCAGCCCTCTGTTTAGGCAGGTAACTATAGTCATATTTGCGGTAATGTTTGTTAATTTGCACGAATCACCTGTAGCGGCTATAGATTAATAAAACAGAATTCATTATTTTTAGTTATATGTTATGCTGTGTAATATGTTGGGCTGTTAAAATACTAAGGTGAGATTTATAATTTATTCCACATTCTGCTTACTTGGGCGTAGGGAGAGAAAACGACAGGAGGTATTAAGAAGGTAGAGCTACAGCGATATGGAAGGAAGTGAAATCTTAGATCTTGTTAGTATCAGCTGAGAATTAAATGCAGCAGTGGAGCATCTAGCTTTGACATAAATACATTATTCAATTGGACAAGTTATGGTCAGCATTTTGTTAGAGAGTAAAGTTAGACTTTGTAAACCATTAATCAGAAAATTAATCGAGTGGATTATCATATTCGTATGATTATGATTTGTTTAGTAAATCTTTATAAAATCCTAAACCCATAATTTTTTAATTAAAGATTACCATCTCCCCTCTACTTTCTGTTTGTGAATACCATGTAGAGCTATAAAGATTCATTTATGGAAAAAATATTTCTTCTGTCTTATCTCCAGTGAATTCAAAACCACATCGTTTTGTGGTGTTATAAGATTAAAAAATTATAATGATAAAGACTAATATAACTCTGCAATATATTAGAATTACAAAAACACATTGATTTTCATCTCAAACGACATTATTTTGAGCTTACAATAACTTATCTCCATTAACTGAAAAAAAAATCCTTTACCCTTCATTTATATGCCAAAAATTAGATAGAAGTTCATCATTCAAATAAAACAAAACATTATTCACAAAAAGAAAAAGAAAAAGAGACAAGCTAATGCCCTAAAGCTCAAATTGATGGCCCGCCAAATATACCCTTAATTCTTGAATACGAGGAAATCATCTTCAATATCATGCAACTTACGATAATAATATAAAGCTTAGAAAATACTAAGAAAAAAGGGAGATAATTACTTATAATTATTGACAATATTATCAAACTCAAACTCAAACCAATCATTAGTCAGGTCGAAATATTGAGCCAATAAATTATTGATTCAATTAATGAATCATTGATTCAACCATATAAATTAAATATATATAATAAAATATAAAATCAAAAACATCTTAACTAATAATTAAAGTTAGTTAAGTGATAAATGTTGTAAGTTATAATCCACATAATATATTTTTCAAACATTTTGTACAAAATTCTACAAAAGCGATTTTTTAAAAAATTCGGTGCCAATTTAATACGATTGAACCCAATTCAACCGATTTTATATCGGATCAAATACATGATTGGTCTAATATCTAAATCGAATCCGTTTTTATAACAGTGAGTATTAGACTACGCGGGCTTTGCCCATACTAAACTCCCGTAATAGGAATATAATTATTCCCCCAATGGCATATATACAAACAAGATACAAAATGGTGTTGGATGAAAAGGCCCCAGGAATCCACCATATATATTGCCGCATATAACGGATTTGCAACACCAAAGTGAAAGAATCACTACCCAGGTTTAAAGCTATGAAACCCCACGGTTTCTAAAGCATCAGTCATCTTCATCATCTAGCAGTGAAAATGAGAAAGGGTAGAACTTGTAACCATCACCCTCATAGAACTTGCTTTGGTACTCTACCCAGTGAAGTCGTAAAGCATGCAAGAAGGCACTTAAAGTTTCCATAACAAGTAACACGCCAACGGTAGCAAAAACGAAGATAATGAAACCCACAACCAGGATAATCACATTGTTGTACCTGTGACACCAGGGAGAGCAATTACCAGTCATTCCCCACGAGTTGTAAAGTCAAACAACTAGGTTGAATTTCAGGGAACCAAAAGAAAAAACGATTGTGGAGAATGAACGAGCAACAAGAACCACGGAGTCTGATGAGATAATTCGGTCAACCTCTCATAAATAGAAACCTACTCGTTTTTAAAAGTTAAAAATAGGTGGAAAAACTCAAATTATAAAAGTCAAATTGGGTTTAACTTTAAGCAATTAGTTTCAATTTTATAGATATCTTGTAATACCCGTGTCCAGAATAATTTCTCCTGGTTCAATCACGTATTGAATGCTCATCACTCCTATACTCTACATCATGAATTGCGCGTGAGAAAATTTAACAGCAATTCAAAAACTTAACATACCCCCATGCCATTATGAGAACCTTCTCGTAGAATACACTTGATAACTCTGAATGAGCAAGACTGGATTAGAAAAAAAAGGAAAAATTAGTAGATGCATCGTCATAATTTATATGCACATACATTATAACAGATCTACAGATGAATTGGTAAATTAACTGCATGATGTGAAGTTCCGACATTGTATCTGTGGTGGGATCAACTTTACTATTGAAATATAAGAATGCCTCACTTACCTGCCATAGGCAGCTAAAAAACTTTTTTTTAAGCCACTGTTTTGTAATATTTTGTGTTCGGTTGTGTGTTCGTGAGAAGATTCAGAGTCTATATAGATATACCTAAGAGCCCATAGACGAAGGTAAGAAGCTGTATTGGAGACTGCTCCAAGTACGAATTCTATGGTGTGAATAAGTTGATGCACAAAGACTTCACTGAACTCAAATTCCTCGTGACCATGGGAATCATGGTTTGACTCCACTTGCAAGCTCTCCTCTGTGCTTTGAAGTGGTATATATGATTCACCCCGGTGCCTCTGAAGTAACATAAGTATCAGAACCAGAACAAAGATAGAAGTTGCATGTACTTGAGTGAAGTTCAAAAGAAAGCATACATCTTCATGTTGCTTCTTCAAAATAAAAGGTTTTGGGATCAGCATCCAGGGTACAGAGACAATGGCCAGAAGTAAAAGCACAAGCTGGTAGGAACACAACAAAGCATGTCAGACTGTCACTGATATTCATGTTAAATATGCCAGAAAAACAAGGGGGAATTAAATTGGAAGTAATCAAACCTGAAGAATTTTCTGACCAACAAAGAGTTGGTTTTCACCCAAATCATCTGTAGGGCTCAGGAACATATAGATCATTACATGGTACAAATCGGCCTTAGAACCAGTGCACCACTTCACAATAATGAGAACAGATAGATAGCCAAATAGATTGTTGAGAAATATCATCTGGGGAATAAATTGAAACCTGGAGAGTGAAAGATTGAAACAACAAAATCAAGTTATGAAAATTTTGAAATTAGCAAGTTCATAGTCATCAACAGAAATTCAGTGATGTGATTGTGGACGTGAATACGTATATGATTTTATTTCAACTCCTTCCCTGCTAAAAAAAAGAACTATGTCTGTGTACCAAAAAGAAAGGCCCGTGTTGGATTTTCGCAAAATAAATGACTATTCAAATACATACAACAGTGGGCATAGAAAACTCCAGAATCCAGATAAGCTTTCAAGTGCTCAGACATGTAATACAGTAGATAATACAAACCTACCATATATTTAAGCCATTCACAAAGAATTTGGCATTGCAATAGCTCATTATAATTCCAAGGTTCATTTGGGCAATCCCAAGAAGAATTGACATTTTCATTTTCAATGAGTTTAGAAATGGTAATTCGCTTCGTGTACCATGCCATACAGGGTCCACTCCAAATGGATATGTGCGGTGCACTTTTATCAGGCCAACTGTAGCAGCATCCCTGCATCAAAAAGAGGGTTAGAAAAAAAAGAAAAGAAAAGAAAAGAAAGAAGAAGAGGAAAGATGGTAACTAAATTTTCTAAAAATATAGAGCGTAATATTTTATGTTATGAATCAAGGGATTTGATCTACCTGCAAGAAAGGTCACGACAGGCATATGCTGAAGGACCAAAGAGTTCAAAAGGAACAGAAAAGAACTCATTATAGATCAGACCAGTGAATATTGAGAAGAGTGCCATCAACATAATAACATAACGACCTCCAAAAGTCATCTCTGTGATGTCTCCAAGTTTCTGTTTTTTACCCAAATTTCCATGTTAAAAGACTGGAAATTTAAATAATACATGTGACTTGAAAAAAGATATTTTGATATATTTTAGAATTGTAAATAATGTGTACAAGGGGTTCTCTATTTATAGAGAATATTTGACCTACTTTTAACCTAAAGGCCTTGGCCCAATACAACAAAGGGCTTGGCCCAATACAACAATAAATGACTAAATAAAAACTAAATAATAACTAAATCAATATTATTTACAACACTCCTCCTCAAGCTGAGGAATAGATATTTATTATTCCCAGCTTGCTAGTAAGTTCTTGAAATCTGTCTGAAGGAAGCCCTTTTGTTAATAGATCAGCTAATTGACGCCCAGTGGGAATGTATGGAGTGGTAATCAACCCGCT